TTGAATCAGTTGATTTATTTTTCTACACTATATATTGTTGTGGTGGCCTCCATCTCAACTACTATAATTCCATTACGTGTGAGTGAGCCCAATAGGTTGAAATCATTTTTTTTAAATGCATGTATGAATATCCCGGTGTTGGATGCTATAAATGTCAAAATGTGTATATTGTTTTATCACCCATCTAGACAAGCATTAGGTCAATTTTTTTGATAGAAAGTTAGACTGAGTCTGAGTGTATATGAAGTCCTGCAATGAAGCATCCTCATTGGTTAACAGGCATTATGTGGTCCGTGTTGTTGCCATGACTATAATTGATTTACGACGGTTGTGACCCGAAACACAATAAGGGTCTTAACACGATGTCCTAGGCAGTTGCTGGAGTTAGAGACAGGTTTTCCTATACAAGTTGCATCCTTCATTGGCGATCCGCTCCGCTCCGCTAGGATTGCCCTTATAATCACTTTTGTCGTTTTCTGTGTGTGTGATTTCCAGTGTTTTCATGTATGATTTCTTCTGTGATTTTTTTGGCTTGGCCGATTTCTTTCAAACTTGACAGGTAGGTCACACTTTCACACTAGTTATTAGGAAAAATCTGAAAAAAAAAATGTTGGCCCACCGTTGCCATAGCAACAGCCAAAAAAATGATTTTTGGATAGCTTCGTGCCAAATGCATCTCCTACAAATGTGGGATAAAACACTTCAGACATAGCTCATTCTACTTAGCTTGAGTATGGGCACAAAGTTACTATTTGAATTTTTGATATCTTTTCATTACCTAGAAATTTGACCCTAAAGTTGGGGTAACTTTTCACCAGCAACGGCTTTTAACTCCTCTGCTAGCACGTCCTCCATGCCTGATACAATCCGACCCAGTAGCTATATCATCATAAGCATGGATGTTACTGGGATTCTTGGCCAATGGCGGGCAAGTAAATTTATAATATTTTCTGGAATCTAACATTTCGGTTTTTGGCGTAATTTCAATTGGCGTTAAAGCAATCGTAATTTCTAGTTAGCTGTGATTTTCGAAGTTATGCCTATGATGGCGACATTCAGATTTCAACACTTGATTATAAATTGAACTACGAAAATCTCGATCCAATTTTTAATTTAAGAACGTTCTTTTTAGTAACGGGTTATTGTTAGTCATTTTCACATAGAGTCAGACCCCACGAGCCCAGCAATAGTAATGATAGGGCAAGACGGGGGGGGGGGGGTTGCAAAGGCAAGTGGAATCAACAATGTTTCCAGTCAGTAATGTTCCGAAGCTTCGTTTACATGATGACCTCTAGGATGACCTGCGATGTACAATATAGAATTGGCTGGTTCCCACCTCAAGTATCATCATAATGGCTTACCAAGCCACGAGAGGCCGGTAACTAGTCACGAATTCGGCATCTTGATTGATCCATCACTTTCTCGTTGCTTGTTCTATTTCCCTTGGTTACCTGACGTCAGCGCTTACGCTCGTGGCCGTTCAGGGGTTTCCTTTTACTTTCGGAACTTGGAAAGTGTTTCAAATTACTAGTACTTCACTTAGTCACGTGACTTCCGGCCGAAATTCCGGCACAGTTGAACAACTTACTAGTATATGGTGATTACTAGTTCGAGTGACGGTCAAGTGAATTTCGAATATCTTCTAGAATCTAACATTTGGGCGTCATTAGCCACGGGTCGTTAAGATTTTATCTCCATGGAGCGACTGGAAATTAATAACAAGGTTTTACCTATTCTGTTAATAGTAACAGAATGTTCAAGAATGACAAACATTGGTTTAAAATTATTATTATTCGCCACAGTCCAAGGCATGGGTATCAAGTCTTTGATATAAAAACAACTTGTGCAATGTATTTAGTACTTTAGTGTATTAATTAATTCAGTGTATTAGCCAACCACTTGTCAGCTTGTCAACTTGACAGGCAATTTTTTTTTTTTGACAGGCAACATTTCATTATTTTTTGTTTCAAATCCTGGGTAATACCCTGTTTCAGTTGTACTAGTAGTCATCAGGTAGAAGTGGCGTTCACATTACCGATTCGACACGTGCCGAAAAAAATCGATCTCGGTCCCGGTACGTGCCGAGATTACACTATGCCAGGGACATGGTCAGGCAATTATTAACAAGTCAATACGACTGTGAACCGGAACAGGAAGTCAGTAGAAGACAAAAGATTCTTTTGTCAGCGTGGGGGAAAGCCGAAAATTCATTGTCTATCCTTGTTTGTGATTGTCCTGGCGACGTTTGGGGGATCGTTACGTAGCTCCGTCTTTAAGACATCGTAGTACATATTACATGCGCAGAGTTCAACTGAGAGTTATTGAAGTGGATATGACAAATCGGTTTATTGGACTGTGTTGTGCATTCAAAGGTAAAAGACATACGGAGTGAGACATGAGACCGTAAATAATAATAATAAACATAGTTGAACTCTGGTGACCTTGCCCTTTGTTATATAATATAATTCCCTTTATCATAGTTTGTTTCAATATAAATATGCATTGTCATTATTAATTTTGAATACAAACAAGTTTTAAGGTTGAACCAACAGTGGGGAATCAGTCTACCGATTGAAGATGTAAATATCTTTAAAGATGTAAATATCTTACAAAAACATTGGTGCCTTATTTGTTTAATTATTTTAAGGGACATAATTTCTAGCTTTATTCAAAGTAATTCAGATATTTTATTATAAAAACAAATGCCTCATCGCAAAAAAAGTGCTGCATTTAGAAGTGAATAGATTCATAAAACATGCAAGATAACAGAAAATCTTAGCTGGCTTTTGTCCAAGTATTTTGTACAGGTGTCTGTCAAAAATTAATGATTCACTGAGACAAATATGAACTGACTCATTGTGTGACTACTGTATTATATGAAAAGTAAAAAAAAAAAAACTTTATGAATTG